CCCCAGCTCTGTGCAGGCAGTGGGGGTCTAGTGGTTAGAGCAGGGGGGCTGGGAGCCAGGACTCCTGGGTTCTAGCCCAGCTCTGGGAGGGGAACGGGGTCTAGAGCTCAGCAGTGTGCAGGAGGCAAATGCCCGTGGATGCAGCTGCGCCCCCCCCCCCGCCTGGCTGTTGTGGGGGCCCCCGGTGGTGACCCCAGGTAGCCCAGGCTGAGAGCCCAAAGGGGCGGAGATCGGGCAATAGGAAAGCAGACCTAGGTATCATCATCTCCCCACCCAACATCCTGTCCCCTGAACCCCCTGCCCAATCAGACACGCGGTGCCCTGGCAACAGCCACCGCAAGCCGAATGGCAACCGCTGTGATGGGACAAACACAGATGGGTGGGTGGGGTGTTGGGGTTTGGTGGTTTCCTGTGCTGGGGTGTCGCGTGGTGTGCGTGTGGGTGACCAAAGGCCCATGAGTCACACAGCCCCCAGCAGCCCCACCCTCGCCTGGCTGTATTCATGCAGCTGTACCAGGACCCTGCTCATGCATCTGCCTCCCCAGCTGTGCACCCCACTCGGCAACCCAGCTGTGCATCCCCCCCGCCATGCACCCAGCTGTGCACCCCAGTGCACCCAGCTCCCCAGCTGTGCACCCCATCCGCCAATGCACCCAGCAGTGCACCCCACTTCCCAATGCACTCGGCAACCCAGCTGTGCATCCCCGCCCCCATGCACCGGGCTCCCCCAGCTATTCACGTGCCACAATGCGCCCAGCCCCCCAGCTGTGCACTTGCTTCCCTATGCCCCTGGCCTCCTACCCGTGCACCTGTCCCCCCCCCATCCGTGCACCCTGCTTCCTAATGCACCCGCCCCCACAGCTACCTATGCACATGCCCCAATGCATCCAACGCCCCAGCTGTGCACGTGCCCCAATGCATCCAACGCCCACCCCTCCATCCACTTCCCAGTCTCAGCACACAAGTCCCATCCCGACTCCCGCCACAGAAAAGGGGAGGAGGAACCGCGCATGCGCGGGGCGCCCGCTGGAGGACGGGGGCAGCCGAAAGGGGCGGGGTTTGCGCACTGGGCGAGGCCTCGGTGGGGGAAGGAAGAAGGGAGCTGTTGGGATAGCGCATGCGCAATGTCGGCCTGGCCCTGCTCAGAGTGGTGATTCAGGAGCCTGGCGGAGGGAGTGGCTCCAGGCTCCGCCCCCTGGCCTGGCCTCCTGGTGAGACCCCATCACCCCCCAGGGCAGGATATGGGGCCTTGGTGTGACCTGACAGGGCCTTCGTGTGAGCTGACAGGGCCTTGGCGTGACGGGGCCTTGGTGTGAGCTGCCGGTGCCTTGGCATGACCAGCCGGGGCCTTGGCGTGAGCTGCCGGGGCCTTGGCATGACCTGACGTGGTCTTGGCGTGAGCTGCCGGGGCCTTGGCGTGACCTGACGTGGCCTTGGCGTGAGCTGCCGGGGCCTTGGCGTGACGGGGCCTTGGTGTGACCTGACGTGGCCTTGGCGTGAGCTGCCGGGGCCTTGGCATGACCGGCCGGGGCCTTGGCGTGATGGGGCCTTGGTGTGAGCTGCGGGGGCCTTGGTGTGACAGGACCTTAGTGTGACGGGGTCTTGGTGTGACTGGACAGGGTCTTGGCATCACAGTGCCTTGACGAGACGGGGTCACTGGGGCCTTGGCATGACCTGCTGGGACCTTGGTATGATTGGACGGGACCTTGGTGTGACTGGACGGGGCCTTGGCGTGATGGCATGATCTGCCGGGTCCTTGGTGTGACAGGTCTTTGGAATGATGTGGCCTCGGTGTGACCTGTCAGGACCGTGGTGTAGTGGGGCCATGGTGTGACTTGATGGGGCCTTGGCATGACGGGGCCTTGGCTTGCCATGGCCTGCTGTAACTGGGGCGTGGCGGGAGCTTCTGGGGCCGTGGTGAGATGGGACAGTGTCTTGGTGTGACCTGATGTGTCTTTGGGGTAGGGCCTTGGCATGACATGATGGTATGTTGGCATGACAAGAGGGGGTGGACAGGGGACTGAGTCTTAGCGCGACCTGAGGGCACCCAGGTGAAATGAAACAACCCCGAGCAGCAATGGCGCCCCCCTGTGGTTGTGACAGAGCAGCCATCCCATCCGGACACAGAGCCGCTGGGGAAGGGGGCAGTGTCACGTGTCCTCCCTCACCCTGTAGCCTCCAGCTCCACAGCCCCTCGGCTCCTCCCCCACATCCTGGCATCCCGCACCCCAGCAGGCCCCCACCCCAACCTGCCATCCCCGGTTCAGGCACCTGGCGGCTCCCTGGCTCGGAAATAAATGCCTCCCTGTTAACCCAGCCATCGCACCCCCTCTAACCACTAGGCCCCACTCCCCTCCCAGAGCCGGGATAGAACCCAGGAGTCCTGGCTCCCAGTCCCCCGCAGTGTAGACATTCTGCATGGCTGGGGGCAGGAGGGATGGAGGTGTGTTTGTGATTGGGGTGGGGAGGGGGGATGGGTGTGGGGTGGAGTGGGGGAAAGGGAGGTGTGGGGTTGGTGAGGGGAATAAAGGGGATTTTCCAGCATGGATCTCCTGTTCCCCCTAATCTGACACGTCCCCCTTTTCTCCCACCCCCAGGGCTCCGTCCTCTCCCCCCATTGGTTGAGGTATTTCTGCTTCCTGGAGACGGTTGCTAACAACTCGGGTGGTGTGGGTGTGGGGGGCGGCGATGCTGGCAGGCGAGGAGAGGCCAGGCGTGATCCCCGCACCTCCCTGTGCCTGTCACGGGCTGGGCTCCCCCCGAGCCCACTGACCATCCCCCCCGGACTGGCTGCCGGAGAGTGAGGTAAATCCCGGCACCCAGGGGTGGGGGGTACTGGGGCTAGGAAGGAAATCGGATCCCAGATCTCCCCCCCACCCTAAACCTTCCCCCCAAACTCTCCCCTGAGCCTCCAAACCTTGTACCCAACTCACCACTGACCCCCCAGAACCTTCCCCCAACTCACCACCGACCCCTGAACTTTCCCCCTAAACTCTCCCCTGAGCCTCCCAAACCTTCCCCCCAAACTCACCCCAATCCCTGAACCTTCCCCCCAAATTCACCACTGACCCCCTGAACCCCCCCAAATTCCCACTTAGCCCCTGAACCTTCCCCCCAAACTCTCCCCTGAGCCCCCAAACCTTCCCCCCAAACTCACCCCAACCCCTGAACTTTCCCCCGAGCCCCCCGAACCTTTCCCCCAAACTCACCCCAACCCCCTGAACCTTCCCCCCAAATTCACCACTGACCCCCCTGAACCCAGGGGGGGAGGGATAGCTCAGTGGTTTGAGCATTGGCCTGCTAAACCCAGGGTTGTGAGCTCAATCCTTGAGGGGGCCACTTAGGGATCTGGGGCAAAATCAGAACTTGAGGGGTTCTCTCATGGATTCGTAACTGGTTAAAAGATAGGAAACAAGGGGTAGGAATAAATGGTCCTGCTAGTGAAGGCAGGGAGCTGGATTTGATGACATTTCAGGGTCCCTTCCAGTTCTATAGGTATATCTCCATATATTTATTATAACCCCCCCAAATTCCCACTTACCCCCTGAACCTTCCCCCCAAACTCTCCCCTGAGCCCCCAAACCTTCCCCTGACCCTTCCCCCCCAAATTCACCTCTGACCCCTGAATCTTTCTTCCACTCCCCCCGATTCTCCGAACCTTCCCCCAAACTCGCCTTGACCACCTGAACCTGCCCCCAGCCACAGAACCACCTGATCCTTTGCTCCCAAATGACCCCACTCCAAACTCCACAGCTCCCTGAACCTTCCCCCCCAATCCCACTCCACCCTCCAACTCCTTAAACCCTCCTAGCCCCTATGCACCAGCCCCACGCCTTCCCCAGCCCCTCCAAAGCTTGTGATGCCCCACCCCAGAATCAGCCACATGCCTGACAGCGCGAGGCCTGCCCCAGAGCCTCGGAGGTTGCCCCCTCTCCTGATGCCCCAGTGCTGGGCTGGGCACCCCCGGCGTGCCCCCAGTGTCCAGCCGCGGCCCCTGCACCCCTGTCTGTCTCTGGGCCGTGACAGCCGGGGTCCAGTTAAAAGCCCTCTCTCTCTCTCTCCCCACTCTCTTTCTTGGCCACCTGTCGGCGAGGAGGAGGAGGAGAAGATGCCGCTGCACCGATCTGCCTCGAGTACCCGCTCGGAGGGCAGCGACCTGGACCTGGAGGGCATCGGTAATGGCTCTGCCCCAGGGCATTGTGGGAAGGCTAGGGATTGGCGTCTCCTGGCTGCCACCAGACAGAATGGGAGCTACCCCGCTGCCTCCAGCGTGGACCTGCCGCTGGTGCCCTCCGCG